CCAGTCTGGCCTTAACTAATAACTTGATTAAGCTTCACTTAAACTGTGGAGTGTGAGAGCGTCACCACATTAACCCATGACCAAAACCTGACATTCTTAAATTTCTTTGTACTTTTTTATAATTGCAAAAATCCTGTGGCATCCTAAATGTACAGTTGAAGTTCAGAGGACTCTAAAAGTTATTTCATGTAGAGTTTTAAGACCCACAAAAATGGAATAGTTTGTTGGTGTGACGGTACATTTTACCAACATATATAAGAAAAGACACATTCACATCTTGCCAACAGCAATTACATCTTAAGCCCCAATTAAAATGTGACTTTTTAAACTCCAAAATCTCCATGTGACGGTTTAGCCATCTGTTTAATGACACAACTGCTATTGATTTGAGCATAGCTAATTATTACAATAAGAACAGTGCTAGAGAAAGATCAACTCAGATCCCAGTTAGAATGTCAGTTAATTATGAAGAGATAATTAATGAGGGTAGGTACCATTATGTTATATACAGGGAAGTAATGTATGTAATATGTACATACAAATATGTAATAAATATTCCCAATCCAGGTATAGATCATGTAAAGTGTATAATTATATCCATTGTTAACTATTATTTTAAATATTCTAAGATAGAGAGATAGATATCAAATAGTATATGTATTTACTGAGCTATCTTCAGCCAGAGGAGGTGTTATTTTCATAAGTTATCTATTGAATTAATTGCGTTTGGTCTTTGCATCAAAATATTCCTATCTCCAATTATTACATGGAAGCTTTGTGTTTTATGGCCACTTTTACAAATGTAAGAGGGAATTTTCAATCTCATTCCTGGTGAAATGTATGACCATATCCCCTAACACACTGCTAATTATGTTTTAGAAAGACAATACTGTGGTGACATTAGAATAAGCCCTCAACTGTCAAATGTAATGATGGAAAGGAAAGTTCAGCAGGAGATGATTCTCAGAGCACGTACTAAACACAGTTTTAAATTTCTCTGTAACATAATTCCTTTTATAAAGAGAAAAATTGATTAATTTCCTTCTCACTATCTTGATATTAGTACTTTTGAGTTGTTAAGTGGATAGAAGCCAAATTATAGAGAAATTTTTTAAAACTTTCGTCTTTAATATCTTATAACCAAATGCTGCACACTTGAGCCTGTGTGTATTGGAGAGTATTGGCATTTATTATTGACTCATTAATATTAGAAGCAAAGATATTTTTAGCATGATTACCTCACATGAGGGAAAGAACTTCTCTGCCTGGCTCCTGTATTCTCATTTTGGGCATGAAATTAAGCTTTATTATGGTTCATGTATAGTATTATTGACACCTCTGGCTGTATAAACATTACAATTGTATGAATTCAGATTCAATCAGTTAAGAATTTGTGACATAACTTAGATAAGTTACATTTTTGTCTTTGTGCTATTAATGAAGATTGTAAATTTTGTAATTTATAGAATTTATAGGACAATATATTAAAGAACTTCAACCATTTAAGTGAAGAATGCTAGGAAGATCCTGATATATTCTTTGCTAAATGCCGTGTGTGGTTAGCTGTGATTGAATTCCCTTACAGGAATGTGTAGTATTTAAGAATTATAGATTTATTTAAACTCACTGGGGACTTTGTTGTAAAATGCGAATAGTAGTTTACTAGGGATTATAACTCCCAATTCATCAGCAGACTTAGATTTGAATTCAGGTATTTCCACATACATCACTACATAATTGTGAGCAAGTTGCATAATCTCTCAGAACTTCAATGTAGTTTATCTAAAATATGAGTAATATAAGTACTTTTCTCAAAGATTGTTTAGGAGATTAAATTTGATAATAAATTTAAGCTTTTGGTATTAATAGCTGAATGTCCTAAGCACTCAATAGGAGTTAGATATTATTAACATTTATCTAAAAATTAGGATGGTACTGGATTTCTATTTGGAGGTACACATTATTGAGATATAGTACATTCTCTGCAAAAATACATTTCAAATATAATTTTTAGATTGTAATACAGATTTCATGATTTATTCTGCCTTTTTCTCCAAAGAGCTTGAGTTAAGGATGATTGTAATGCATTCATGTAAATGGCTACCTTTGTTCTGCTTATTTTTTTAGTTGAAAACAATGGTTTATATATAAGGATTTTTTAAAGAATTTTTTGTTTTATTAATGACAAAGTATGTAAGAGTACTAAATATAGAACAGAATTTAGGAAAGTGAGAGTTGAAAATTGGGAGCCATGAAACCTGAGTTCTGGATCTAGCTCAGTTTGTCCTTTTGCAATTACTTAATCTACCTACATTTCAGTTCTTCAAAGTTGAGAAGAAACTTGTACTGGATGACTTTTATGGCCATTGAGAGTTGTCAATTTATGATCCTACAATAAACTCAGTACAAATCTATTTTCAAAATTATACTATTTACCTGTGGGAAGTATTGAATCATGCATCTTTGATTCTACTTATTTTTTCCACTCAATAGGATAGTGTGTACATGGTTGCTTTATCTTGAAATTGATTTTTAAATATTAGGTTATCACATGACCTTAAAATGTATCTAGCCAGGACATTACTCTAGTTTTTGAGAAAACTGATTTCACACATCTAGGGAAGATCTAATTCTCCCTATCACCTTTTCTGTAAAGGAAATTACATAAATTACTAGGCATAACAACTTTTACTGCTTTAGTAGAAGTTGAGTAGTAAGAGTTGTTTATAAAAATTATTAAGAATTTGAAAGAAAATGCTATGAAATAATTTTAATTGAAGGGATAATTATGTTCTCCCTATTAAACAAACTTTTATGCATTTAAGTTACTTGTGTGCCTATTGATACAATATAATTTATTAAAATTCTATAGCTTTATATATTCCTAATTTTTAATGGTGATAGCAAAAAAAAAAAAAAGAAAAATCGAGGTAATGAAGAACTGAAATATGTCTTCTGAATCCCATGTGGCTCTCAATAATTGGATTAAGAAAAGGAAGGTTGCTGACATTTTATTTAGATTGTCTTAATTTCATCCATGGAAACAAATGATCTAATAATATAGTTTATAAAGGTATAAACTCTCGCTCCTATTTGAATAGTGCTAACTACAATCAAATAATTTGTTTTATTTTTTCATAATGTAATGTTCTTATTCCCATTTTTCCTATAACACCTTTTCCTCAAAAATTAGCTCAATCAAGAAAGGTATCAGTGAGTATCTAATTCCCATGTAGTTGGATTACATTTTTGAGCCAGGGAGTGACCATTGTTTAATGAGACTGATTTTATAGCTTAATTTATTTGGCTTTAGACTACAATATTTTATTTATACTCAGTGAAGTAGAGAATGAAACGAAGAAGCAATGTGAGTTTTGAAATTATGCTTACATCTTTATGACAGTTTATTTTAGGTTTGCCTCATTTGACCCTCTTTTCTATTACAAATGCACAGTCCTGGCTTTCTAATTTCCTTCTCAAAAATGCTGACATTGCATTATTTTCCTGCCACAAATGGACCTCTTTTCTTCTTTTTTGTAAAAATAACATTCCAAATATCCTACTGCTTTATTGTCAAAGTTGTATAACCATCATTTGAGATGTCCCATGGGGTTAGCAGAGGAGAATGTACTCTATACCTTTCCTACCTTTCGCCTCCAGAGGCTACTTTGGAGGGGAAGTAGTGAGGAAGTCTGCTAAGGCAGTTGCAGAAATTGCTTCCTAGTTCACCCAAGGTCAGAGCCTGGTCTCTGTCTACACTGTACAAATTTAACTATGGAGTGTCTGTTAAAATGGTATGGTCTGAATTTAGCTGTTCTAGAATATTATTTTAGATGTAAACCCTGTGTTCAATTTGCTGAGACACGCTGTACATACCAGAGTTGGTAAAATGAGTCATGTATAAAAAAGCCACGTTTCAATTCCTTTAGAAAAAAATTCAAAAGGTCTCAATTAGTTCAGGCTTCTAACAGCATTCACACATATTTTAGTCTGAGGCTTTGAAAACCCCAAGGTGGCATATACTATATATGCTATATTCCCAAAAGATATATTTATTTCATAATTTCACATTATTTTACTACCTCATTTGGTTTAGTTTTGTTATTTCTTATCTATCATTTGCTTATTTTACTTTAAAAAACTGTTCTATATCATTAAGTACTTCATCATTCAGTTGGATGACTTTGCATGTAATTATGGAAAAAAGAATGAAAATCATAATATTTGTTATGGTTATCACAAATGATATTGAGAGCTGCAAACAATTTACAGTTAATTATGAAATTAGTTGGAGAATTAATTACTTTCTATATGGGCTACATAGAAGATGGGTTTCAACATGTATCTATGAAATATCAGCTCATATTTTATAAGTAAAACAAAACATGTATGTACACGTAGGCAAACATATCTAACATCTAAAGCACTAAACCTTTAATATATTAAAATCATTGTAGGGCTGACTTTTTAGTTTTTATTTATATTTAAAAGCATTTTAATCACATCAATTGGGTCACAATTTAGAGTGTAAATATTCATAATATTTCATATTAAGATTATTTGACATGGTCTGAGTGTCTATTAGGTTTTTTAAAACTCTGTTTCAGCCCTGTCACTTGTTTTTGTTTCGTTTTTTTGTGCATGTCATATGTTATAGTAGAATTAAAGACCTTGTTTTATTTGCAAAATCCAGTTAGCAGTTTTGCCACTGCCTGTTCAAACTCCAGCTCCATGGCTCAGGCTAGATACTTGTGACAGTGGATCTGTGGGAATGAATGATGGATCTGTGTAGCAACGATAGCCTTAATCTCTAACTAGCTTTCATTTTTCATCTTTACAATTTCCATTTCCTCTTTCTATTGAAATAAGTTCAGTTGAAATAAATGGATACTCCTGCACGTGTTGATGATCCTGAGAGCTCTTCTGAGAATAGCATTGGCCTGTTAATGATACTGTTAATAATTTTTTTCATACTTTTCTCTTTTTTTGTTTTTTTTTAGTCTCGACCTATTCCTTCCCACCTTACTTCAGCAGTTGCAGAGAGTATCTTGGCTTCAGCTTGTGAGAGTGAGAGTAGAAATGCCGCCAAGAGGATGCGTCTGGAGAGACAGCAGGTACTGAGGCATCTTGAAGTCTGGTGAACACCAGCTATAGCAAATGCAGTTCATTTAATTTGATTAATGTTGAAGAGTAAAAGCTGTTGAATGGATTTAAAGTACACAGATATCTAGTTTTTGTGTCTTTAGGATATGAATTTAAAATTGAAAACATGTGTTCCTGTGATGAATGAAGGTCAAAGAACAAAATGTTTCTGTGGCAAAAATGAATAGCAAAACTAATGAGTTATAATTCTGTTTAGTATCCAATTTAAAGATCAATTACTTATTAAGAGGTTCTAACTGATCATTTCCAACACCTTTGTAAATTTACCTCATGACTTATGAGAGTGACTTGATTGTGTTCATTTTGAATGAAAATGAACCAACCTCTCTTTAATTTCCTCTGGTCTACTACCACATGCCAATACATGATGCCAAGGGTGGTGACAGTACAACACAACTTTGAAAGAGTAGAAAGTCAAAAAATGAGGATATACATAATGAAAATTCATGTCTTAGATTTACTCTCTCATTAATTAATCATTTATTATATGCCAATTGCATGTCATGTTTCAGTATCTTTTTTCTAAGGCATCTGTGTATTGGAGATGTTTGTACTTTTTGTGTTATGCTCACTGGTGTTTCCCTCAGTCTTTCCCTTGGGTTATCTCTATATTTCTGTTTCTCTTTCTTATCCCAGAAATGTCTTTCTCTTTTTTCTGTCTACCCCCTTTCTCAAGTATCCGTAGTAAAAATCTAAATTGTCATGTGATATACTAAATATTCTGCATAAAAGTTTGCCACATTTTCATTTGTAAATTATTTTTACAACAAATGAATCATATGTTTTATATTGCTAATTGAGGATGAGGTGAGTCAAGACTAAAGTAAGTTAGTTCAATTTTGATTCTACAGTAAGCTAGTGGACTTCAAAGAAAAAAGCAAAAAAGTTTTTTCATTTCAGGCTTAGAATACTTTAACGTGTTTCAGAATGATATGAGCTTTGATTTGATGTGTTTATTATTAAAATGTCATGTGCTAATAATTCTAAATGCCACAAAAGATGAAGCCTTCAGTTAAATGAAAAATACAGTATTAGTCTCAGATAAAAACCATGTAAAAAGTCAATTTAAAATGTGCTAATCGTGCCACCAGTATTGATTCATATATGTGTGCCCTCTGTTGAGAGTTTTATTATTGTTATATCTATAAAATGTATCTTATACAATGAGTTATAACACGATGTATAATACCATCTGGCATAGTGATTAGGGGAGCACATTCTGAAACTAAAGAGATCTGGTTTTGAATCTCATCTCTATCTTTTCTAATTGTGCAAACTTCAGCAAGCTATTCCAGTTCTGTGTGCTTTGGTTTCTCCGTATGAAAGACAGCAATAACAGTACTCATCCTTTGAAGTCATTCTGAGAACTTTAAATGACAGATTCATGTTATGTACTTAGCATTTTGCCTGGTGCATAGCAAGCATCAATAAATTCAGTATAGAAAAGACTTTGATGTCTAGTGTTTTGTCATTGGATGGATGTCAGTTAACTAGAAAGAAGCATTAATGACACTACCTAAGGTATTAGAGTTTCAAAGTCAAAGTCCATTTGAGAACAGATGCTAGCTCTAGAAATTGGGATCGTAGAATTCTGGGATTGAAAGGGCTCTCCTGGTTGTTGTCTAGCTATATATCCCACCTAGTCTACATTCTAGAATATCCCTGTATAGTTTTAATCATATGTGGAGTTGTTATAAAAATTAAATGACTTATTCATGTTATATACTACCTATAATATCACTCTACGATATTCCCCAAAGTTGGTCATCAAGTGATATTTGATCCAGTCACTTAAATACCGTGGGCCTAATCTGTAAAAGGGGAGATACAAATATCAATTCATAGAGCTATTGTGAGGATTTTGTACGTCAACTCATATAAAAGCATTATGTATTTCATAAGTTTATATGTTGTTAAATATATATTTGTTATTTGCTTTAGTATCTCAAATCTCACACTGGTACTAAAGATCTGCTATTTACTAACACTCTTTCCTACTGTCAGAGATTTATCATTGTTTTTGAAGGTCTTTACATTGAGCTCAAATTTACTTCATAGACTTTCTACCCACTGAAGAAAAACTTCTAAAAATAATTAAAAATGGGACTTCTTACTCCTGCCTCAGGAATAGGGACTAGAATGAATGAGGACCAGTGGTCCTTGGCCCTACTCTCCCTACTGTCTCCTTTTTATATGTCCTCATATATTTATTGCAAGGCTCTGTTTCTGGGAATGGAAGATACCCAATAATATCTCCACATTTAAAAAAATACTGTTTTCTTTTTTTCTCCCCATTGTTTTTTTCTTTTCTTTTCTTTTTCTTTTTTTTTTTTTTTTTTTTTTTTTTTTTTTTTTTTTTTTTTTTTTTTTCCCTTTTTTTTTTTTTTTTTTTTTTTTTTTTTTTTTTTTTTTTTTTTTTTTGGTACTTTAAGTTCTGCGATATATGTGCAGAACGTGCAGGTTACATGGGTATACATGTGCCGTGGTGGTTTGCTGTGCCCCTCAATCCATCATCTACATTAGGTATTTCTCCTAATGCTGTCCCTCCCCTAGCCCCTGACTCCCCGACAGACCCTGGTGTGTGATGTTCCCTTCCTGTGTCCATGTGTTCTCATTGTTCAACTCCCACTTATGAGTGAGAGCATGCATGTTTGGTTTTCTGTTCTTCTGTTAGTTGGCTGAGAATGATGGTCTCCAGTTTCATCCATGTCTCTGCAAAGGACATGAACTCATCATTTTATATGGCTGCATAGTATTCCAGGGTGTATATGTGCCACATTTTCTTTATCCAGTCTATAATTGATGGGCATTTGATGGGTTCCAAGTCTTTGCTATTGTGAATAGTGCTGCAATAAACATATGTGTGGATGTGTCTTTATAGTAGAATGATTTATAATCCTTTGAGTATATACCCAATAATGGGATTGCTGGGTCAAACGGTATTTCTAGCTCTAGATCCTTGAGGAATCGCCACACTGTCTTCCACAATGGTTGAACTTATTTACAGTCCCACCAACAGTGTGAAAACCTTCCTATTCCTTCACATGTTATCCAGCATCCATTGTTTCCTGACTTTTTAATGATCACCATTCTAACTGGCATGAGATGGTATCTCATTGTGGTTTTGATTTGCATTTCTCTAATGACCAGTGATGATGAGCTTTTTTTCATATGTTTATTGGCTGCATAAATGTCTTCTTTTGAGAAGTGTCTGTTCATATCCTTCTGAATGGGCAAAGACTGGAAGCATTCCTTTTGAAAACCAGCACAAGACAAGGATGCCCTCTCTTACCACTCCTATGCAACACAGTATTGGAAGTTCTGGCCAGGGCAATCAGGCAAGAGAAAGAAAGAAAGGGTATTTAAATAGGAAGAGAAGAAGTCAAATTGTCTCTTTGCAGATGACATGATTGTATATTCCGAAACTCCCATTGTCTCAGCCCGAAATCTCCTTAAGCTGATAAGCAACTTTAGCAAAGTCTCAGGATATAAAATCAATGTGCAAAAATCACAAGCATCCCTATACACCAATAACAGACAGACATATCCAAATCATGAGTGAACTCCCATTCACAATTGCTATAAAGAGAATAAAATACATAGGAATACAACTTACAAGGGATGTGAAAGACCTCTTCAAGGAGATCTACAAACCACTGCTCAAAGAAATAAGAGAGGACACAAACAAATGGAAAAACATTCCATGCCCATGGATTGGAAGAATCAATATTGTGAAAATGGTCATACTGCCCAAAGTAATTTATAGATTCAGCGTTATCCCCATCAAGCTACCATTGACTTTCTTCACAGAATTAGAGAAAACTACGTTAAACTTCATATGGAACCAACAAAGAGCCCTTATAGCTAAGACAATCCTAAGCAAAAAGGACAAAGCTAGAGGCGTCACGCTACCTGACTTCAAACTATACTACAAGGCTACAGTAACCAAAACAGCATGGTACTGGTACCAAAACAGATGTATAGACCAATGGAACAGAGCGGAGGTCTCAGAAATAATACCACACATCAACAACCATCTGATCTTTGATAAACCTGACAAAAACAAGCAATGAGGAAAGGATTCCTTATTTAATAAATGGTGTTGGGAAAACTGGCTAACCATATGCAGAAAGCTGAAACTGGACCCCTTCCTTACAACACCTTATACAGAAATTGCTCAAGATGGATTAGAGACTTAAACATAAGACCTAAAACCATAAAAACCCTAGAAGAAAACCTAGGCAATACCATTCAGGACATAGGCATGGGCAAAGACTTCATGACTAAAACACCAAAAACAATGGCAACAAAAGCCAAAATAGACAAATGGCGTCTAATTAAACTAAAGAGCTTCTGCACAGCAAAAGAAACTATCGTCAGAGTGAATAGGCAACCTACAGAATGAGAGAACATTTTTGCATTCTATCCATCTGACAGAGGGCTAATATCCAGAATCCACAAGGAACTTAAATGAATTTACAAGAAAAAAAAACCACATCAAAAAGTGGGCAAAGGATATGAACAGACACTTCTCAAAAGAAGACATTTGTACGGCCAACAAACATATGAATAAAAGCTCAGCATCACTGATCATTAGAGAAATGCAAATCAAAACCATTATCTCACAACCGTTAGAATGGCAATCATTAAAAAGTCAGGAAACAATAGGTGCTGGAGAGGATGTGGAGAAATAGCAATGCTTTTACATGGTTGGTGGGAAAAAAATATTATTTTCAAACCCAGAAGGGTTCAAATAACTTTGGAATTGTGGGGGGAAATGAAGAAATCATTTTTTTTAAATTAAACTCTAAGATATGCTAAAAACCTATTGGGCAATTCCTAGATACAGTTTCATTTACCACTCTCAACAACCTCATGAGAAAAGATACTATAACTCTCATTTACCTGTAGAAAAACTGAGGCCCAGAGAAGTGAAATGATTTGTGCAAGG